TAAACAGCATTGGGGAGATAATCGACCCCTGTGGGACCCCACAATTGAGACTCCACGGGGCCGAGACACTCTCCTCAAGCTGCACTCTCTGGGGGCGGTCCTCCAAGAAGGAACGAAGCCAGGCCAATGCCAGGCCACCTATTCCCAACTCGGAGAGCCTCCCCAGGAGGATACCATGGTCAATGGTATCAAAGGCCGCTGAGATATCGAGGAGGACCAGCAGAGACACTTTGCCCCTGTCAGCCTCCCTCAGTAGGTCATCACACAGCGCTACCAATGCCGTTTCTGTATCATGGCGTGGCCTGAAGCCCGACTGAAATGGATCCAGGGCATCTGTTTCATCCACGAGCACCTGAAGCTGATCGGCCACCACCCTCTCGACCACCTTGCTTAGGAAAGAAATGTTGGCGACGGGCCTGTAATTGCCAATTTTGTCCGCCACCAAACTAGGTTTCTTCCTAATGGGCCTATTGAGTCTGTCCTTCAGGGCAGATGGAAATCTGCCCTCAAGGAAAGACCCATTAATTATTACCGTGGCCCATTCCGTTGTTGAAAGCCTGGCTGCTTTGATTAGCCAGGCCGGGCAAGGGTCCAAAGAGGAGGTGGTGGCATGACAGCGGTCAAGCGCCTTGGCCACAGAGGCAGGTGTGACAGGCTGAAAGGAGTCAAGAATCACCAGGCAAGACGGAACACCAGACATCTCAATGTTAAATTTAAAATAATTTTATTACCCCTTTTATCAAGTTCAATTTATTTTTAATTTTATCATTGGCTTGAGGCATTCAGAATTCCTGAATATGGCTTAAGCACCTCACCAAACTACACATCCCATATTTCCTTGGGATAGAGCCATGGCAGCTAAATTGGTCTCAAGGCACTGTAACTCTGTAGCCTTGTTGCAATTGTGTACCTATCCTATGGCTGACTATGCAACTGAGCAAAGAAAATACTGTTGATGTGGTAAATGAATAAACCATCAAAGTCTTAGTGACATGGAAAATGTCAAATAATCAACCTTTTCAGAATCTAATCAGGCAACATGAGAGAGGCATCCCATGATGTTTCTGAGAGATCCCTGCTGTTACTTACCATGGTTTCAACTTTTCACAGGGAAGGAGGAGATTTTAGATAGCGAAATCTGTTTTCAAGTTAATTGAATTGCAAAAGAACATATATACATATTGCAGAAACCAAACTTTGATGTGAAAATTAGTTTTTACTTTGCAAACCCCATCTGGGGCTTGTATGTAAAATCCTGAATGATTTGAGGGCATGATCCAGAAGGTTGTTATCACTACATTCGCAGGGAAATGAATGGAAATGATGAAAAATTACTGCCTTTCCATTGGATCCAAATGGATCCAGAGGGTTTGACTTCTGTGTAAACAAGTACAAAAGATGGGGGGGGTGCAAAAAAAAAATCACACACACACACAAAACCCCCAATGGTCTCCCAGAAAACTGCTTCTCTTGCTCTTTAGGTAAAGTGCAAAAAAATAAAAATTAAAACTGAAATTAAAACCACTTGCCTCCTTCTGATAAGAAAAAATCACTTTCCCCCATTCATTGGAAAGAACAGTCCCAAATCCATTTCGATGCTAAACACATTGGCCAGATATGACCCTCTTTTTCATAACCTGAAGTCCTCAAAAACTTTAGTTGTCATAACAAATGGTGGAACATCTGGAGGACTACCATTGCTGACTCTTTCCTTTAATATTCAAACATTTTTGCACTGTGCTTTTTCCAGCATTTCCTATTTGAGTACCCCTTCTTGATCAATGTGGAATTTCTTCTCTACATAGTGTTTCACTGACACATATACGAGCTTTGAAAAATTACTTCTGTGGATGATGACTCCCAGAATCTACAGCCAGCATGTCTAAATCTTCTGGATTTTGTAACCCAAAATGTAACTGTTTTCAAGCTCTGACACACACATGCATGAATTTAGATATTATGCCATCCAAGCCTGGTTTGTTGTTGTTATGTGTGGTCAAGTCACCCTGAAAATACGACGACAGCATGAATGAGAGATCTCCAAAAATTCCTGTCCTCAATAGCCCTGCTTGGCTCTTGCAAACTTAACCCTGTGGCTTCCTTTAGAGAGTCAATCCATCTGGAATTTGGTCTTCCTCTTTTCCTGCTGCCTTCAACCTTTCCCAGCATTACTATCTTTTCCAGAGAATCCTGTCTTCTCATGATATGTCCAAAGTAGCATACTTTGGTTGTCCCAAACCTGGTTTAGGATCACCTTTAGAAGAAACTTGCATATGACAACATGATTCAGCTCATTTTAGCAGCTTGATTACTCCATCTTTTCTGTGAGCTGGAAGGCAAAATGGTCCTCCTGGGGTATATTGAACATACCAGAAGAACAAAGTAAAATGTGTTTTTTCTTTCTTTCTTTCTTTCTTTCTTTCTTTCTTTCTTTCTTTCTTTCTTTCTCTTTCTTTCTTTCTTTTTTCCTTTCCTTTTCTTCTTTTTCCCCCCAATTTAACAATTATCATTATCCCAATGATATTTGTAATAATAATAATAAAAAAGAACAAGGACAACATGAATATCAACAACTATATAAGGTAACCCAGGCCCAAACTCCCTGAGATTGTGAAGTTTTAGTTGTGTGGCATCTATATTTCCACATGGAGAATGAATATGTATGTACATTTGTATGTAGACACACACTTGCACATACACACACATATACATATGAAATTAATTAAGAAAAATCAACTCCCTTCCCTTCCTTATCCCAACAGAACTTGGGTTGCTCACAGTATATTTTGTACAAATGTGCAGGGGGAGGGGGAAATAATTAAAAAAACTGGAGTGTTGCGATGCTTCACACAGTTCCTTCTAGTGCACAGCTGGCATGGGGAGTCACAGCTTCACATCATCAACTTTGTCAGTGTCCTCTCCCACCAGGGAGGGGCTTGCATACATGTACACCTCCTTGTTAGTAAGGACAGCAGGATCTCCCAAGCGGCTCAGTCTGTCCTTCCAGTTGCTGTCACTGTGCAGTTGGGGGAGGTGCTAAGCCAGTTGTGCCCAGCACTCCCCCATTGGGGCCAGTGCCAGTGGTCCCTGGCTGCATGGAGGAGACGGGGCTCATGGGTTCAGAGCCACTGTGCACCCCACCTGGTTGGGACTGTTGCATCTTCTTCTTGTTGATCTTCCTTTCCTTGGCCCGCCTGTTCTGAAACCAGATCTTTACCTATGGGGTCGGAAAGCAGAAAAGAAAGTAAGCGCTAGTATATTACAGTGATGAGGATGCATGGAATCCTTAACTAATATTGTTATGTCAATGAAACCAGCCCCAGGTACGTGGTTTTATAGCAAGCATGAGAAACCTTTGGCTTAGATGTTTTGGGCTTCACATCTCAAATATTTTACTTTGCTCATCAGAGTTCACAGAAACTGAAGTTCAAAAGAATTGAAAAAGTATAATGTCCTCATTCTTGATTGCCTAGGTTTAGAGGTGAGGAAAATGTACTCTCTTTTTTTGGGTTACAGTTCCCAGAATACCAGCCAGCATGGACATCATGTAGTCCTTGGCATCAGCCTTGCTTAAGTGCTCTTCAGATGACTTGCACTATAACTCATATTATTCCCAGCTAATGCTCAGACATGCCAATGAAGATGTGAATTGTCATCTGGCATATTTGCAAGGCATATGTGATTAGGTAAGTCTACTATATATCATCACCTATATGTATTTCCCTGTGAACAAGGCACACTAAATAAGGAGCAGATACTTTGAGTAAACATGCCAGCAGGGGTTGGGCTGTATTTAACCCCCCCCACACACACACACCAACCCTCTACACCAAAGGAAAGGATATGGCATGGGAATGCATAGAAACAAGGTGGACTCCTCATAAATTTCCAGAGAATTTAAGCTCTCCTGTTCAAAGGAGAAAGATAACATGCTTTCAGAGGGGAAGAGAGAGAAGGAACAAGCTAGTGGAAATGGACATTGTATATGTATTATGGAGGAGGGGTTTGTGGATACCATGGACAGCCAGAAAGACAAATAAGTGGATGTTAGATCAAATCAAGTCTGAATTCTCTCCAGAAGCAAAAATGACTGAACTGAGGCAATCATACTTCAGACAAGACTCCCTGGAAGGGCTACTGTGGAATGCAACAGGAGAATAGGATGGACGAGTGTGCGAGAAATTGACCATCACCTATATGTATTTCCCTGTGAACAAGGCACACTAAATAAGGAGCAGATACTTTGAGTAAACATGCCAGCAGGGGTTGGGCTGTATTTAACCCACACACACACACACACACACCAACCCTCTACACCAAAGGAAAGGATATGGCATGGGAATGCATAGAAACAAGGTGGACTCCTCATAAATTTCCAGAGAATTTAAGCTCTCCTGTTCAAAGGAGAAAGATAACATGCTTTCAGAGGGGAAGAGAGAGAAGGAACAAGCTAGTGGAAATGGACATTGTATATGTATTATGGAGGAGGGGTTTGTGGATACCATGGACAGCCAGAAAGACAAATAAGTGGGTGTTAGATAAATCAAGTCTGAATTCTCTCCAGAAGCAAAAATGACTGAACTGAGGCAATCATACTTCAGACAAGACTCCCTGGAAGGGCTACTGTGGAATGCAACAGGAGAATAGGATGGACGAGTGTGCGAGAAATTGACTCAAGAAAACTACAGCCTTGAGATTGTAAGGCTTGAACATGGCTGTTAACAAAAGGACTTCTGCAGGTCACTACTTCATTGGGTTGCTTATGATGTTCTTGTGCAGGCAAAAATAACCATTCCACTTTTTTTGCCCCTCCACAGGGCAATTCAGTGCACCAGAGATCATGGCTACAATGATTTTTTAACCTGAAACAATTTGCCTCTAAACGCTGTGTCATTTGTTTTGTAGCCATAACTAGGAAAGAGAATTTTGAGCACAATGTAATAGTAGCAGTCTATCAATAACACGTGTGTGAGAGAGACAGAGGGAGAACACCGAGGTACTATCAAGGCGTTCTTAGCCTTTTTTGTATCAATGGCAAAACATGTGTTTCCAACAAAGAAAGTGGCCTTATATCAACTCAAACCATTGGTCTTTCAGCTCAGTGTTGTTTACACAATTTGTCCCCACCCAAATGCCCTCATGATGGGTTGGATTGGATTCAGTTTTGGGATTTATGGGATTAGTCCAAAGTTCACTCCAAAGCAAGAGGAAATAAGCCTTGTATACCAGCAGGATGATGCTCTTGCCCTTGTGAGGTTGTTGGCTTTCTCTGGGCAACTGATTAGTCACAGTGTGAATGGAAAGTTGGACTAGATGGGGCTTTGTTTTGATCCAGCAGGACTCTCTAACATACCCAGAGGGCAGAAGATAGGGATGGATGGTCTACACTATGACTCAGCAGCCAACTTCAAATGTTTAAAAAGGGATCTCAAACTCAATTTACCTGGGGGCTGCTGGAGGCAGAGTCTGGGTGAGGCTGGGCTGCATCAGATTTTCCACCAAGCGGAGCAAGAGCCCGAGGAAGCTGCCCAGGAGTTTCCTTGGGGCCCCAGCCCAGGAGTTTCCTTCGCCTGGCTGGGGCCCCGAAGAGGAGGAGGAGAAGGAGGAGGAGGGGTGCACAAGCCCTCGTCGCCGGCCATGACCCCCTCCAGCTCCTTCTTCACTACCACCACCACCAGCAGCAGCAGCAGCAGGATGAAGAAGTGGAGAAGGGAGGGAGCACAGGCAACTGCCTAGCCAGGGGGAGGGGGAGGAGGGCATGACATAAAATTAAAAAAACCCTCACAGAATTCACCTTGCCAAAGGAGAAAAGCCCCCACCAGTACCCATGAGATTAAACAAAATGGGGTGGGCGGCCCCCCACAGGTGTGTGTGTGTGTGTGCACACCTCTTATTGCAATTAAGTACGTACGCTAAGGAGAAGCATGTGCAACTTTTTTAATGGATAAAAAAAATCTGTAGGAAAGCTGTTCAACCACCAAATGCTGATGTTATGGAAAGAAGTCATGGCCATCTGGAGAGACTTGGGCACAGGGTTCAAATCTCAGGAGAGCCAGATTCTACAGTTCTGTCTTAGGACAATGATCTTCCTGGGGTGGGTGGGGGCAGAATGAAATGTTTATATCCACATTTAAGATACAAAAACGTTTGATTAGGCACACTACCCATTAGCTTGAACTTAGAACAGACTTCCTGGATGTCTTCTTTGTAAGGACTTGCACATTCAGGAGGAGAAAGGCGTGTGCAAACTTTGCCTCAGGAGAGTACAGTACATGGAAAAGGGCAAATCACTTGTTTAGATCCAAAATAAAATGGTTAGCCAAAGGTTGAGAAACATTAGGGACTGACTGATTTCGTGCAGTTATCAAGACTACAGAGATCATGTTGTGCCGAAGGGGCAGGAAGAAAGAGCAACACCATTACTCGCATGGGAGTCTGAGTCAGAACAAATGCATTTCCTAGAATCCCGAGGATATCGGGAAAAGGGGTTGTCCTTGAATGTCAAAAATGCAAGTCATTTGGACTTTGAGAACTAAGGTGGGTGGGTTTTGCCACATCCACAGAGAAAGCAAGTGGCAGAATATCTCGCCCAACAAAAGAGAGGATAAACAAACACTTCTCCTGCTTGTGTTGATGTACAAAGCAAGCCAGTAATCTGTTATACAAACTTGGACCCAAGCTGCTTGCTCCAACACAAAAGCAAGCCAGTAATCTGTTATACAAACTGGATAAGCTAGTGCACTTGGACCTAAGCTGCTTGCTCCAAAACGTAAATACAAACAGAGGCACAATCCATGCATGGAGGTATCCATTCCATAGAGGAATTGAAAAGGAGTTAAGCTAGTTTCCAAACCTGTAACAATGTCTCTTGTGATAGCACTTTTTGAGTGCTTCAGATACATCGTTTTAGTGATTCTAATTACAATTGAATAAATTAAACTAGCTGGGGTGCAGAATATTAGCTCAATGAGTCAGTTTACAGGAAAGGGGAGGTTCAAACTGGAAATTTACTGGCTCACAGCTCATATCAGACATTGTTTTATATCTTAACTACTATACTACGTACACTCTTTGCAAGTCATTGGGTACAATGACAGAGAAAGGAATAATTCTTTTGGGATTCTTTTGTAACTACCCCGGAGGGGGGAATGACATCTAAAAAAAGTTAAATAAATAGACCTCACTTGCTATAAGTTGTCCATACTGTGTGCAATGTTTTCAATAAGACTTCATTTGTTTCTGGAACACAGCTTGATTGCTTTGTTTGGAGATGGCTCAAAGTGGTGCCTTCTGGAGATCACCAGATTAGAGTTCCTTTGGCAGAAAACAAACAGATAAATCTATCTTAGCTAATATTATCTTCAATGTATGAGCTCCTGTGCTTAAAATATAGAGGGAACAGAGAGAATATTTCTCAATTCTCAGCTGGAGGGAGACACTCATTCTAAAATTTCTGGGTGAAGTGCATCCTGCCCCAATCACTAGCTGCTTGTACATTTGTGTTGTTGTTGTTGTTGTTGTTGTTGTTGTTGTCGTTGTCGTTGTCGTTGTCGTCGTTGTCGTTGTCGTTGTGTACCATCAAATTACTTCCAAGCCATGGAGACCTATGAATTAATGACCTCCAAAAAAGTCTTACCCTAAATAGCCCTGCTCAGCTTTTGCAAACTCAGGACTGTGGTTTGCTTTATTGAGTCAATCCATCTCTTGTTTGGTCTGCTTCCTTTACAGTTGTCTTCACCTTTTCCAAGCATGGTTGTCTATTCCAATAAATCTTGCCAAAATTACAATAGTCAAAGTTTAGTCATTGTTGCTTCTGGGAAGAGTTCTGGCTTGATTTGATCTAAAACTCATCTGTTTTGTCTTTCTGCCTGTCCATGTTTGTTAATTTAAAAAAAAGTTAAAAGGATTTGAATGCCAGTGAATAAGAGGGTAGTGATATCAGCAGAGAAGGGTAAGGGAAAAGCAGGACTGTGTGAAGTGTGGACACTCCAAATGCACCTTCCCAAGACAATTAAACATTTCTAGCTGAACAACCGCAGTGAGTTAAATGTCAGGATGAGGTATAGAGGAGTTCACATCAACCCAGGATAAACTTCTGTGTGGACACATCCTTCATCTAAATTACCACACAGGGTTACTGTGAAGCTTACATGGGGAGAAGTGAGGGCCTTGAGCTCCTTGGAAGAAAAATGGGGTATAAAAGTAAATAATAAATCCAATTGCCAGCAGAAAACTACTGTTCTTCCTCATATAACCACCTCTGCCTCTGACTTTAGCTTTAGTCCAGCCAGCCCTATCCAAATTTGGAGGCTAAAGAAGTTTTCACTGGCAACAAAAGAAATTCTCTTTGAACATGCAGACTTCATTAATGTGGGATGCTGTTGTATATATACACTAGCTGAACGGTAAGTAGTTCAGTATAACAAAGGGTGTTTTTTTAAAAATAATAAAAGCAGAATAGGTTTCAATCCTATATACTGTCTCCTAGGAATAAATCTAATTAAAACTCAGTGAGAGTTGCCTCTGAGAATATATGTGTAGGATGTAGTTAAAGTTAGTTAGTTAGTTAGTTAGTTAGTTAGTTAGTTAGTTAGTTAGTTAGTTAGTTAGTTAGTTAGTTAGTTAGTTAGTTAGTTAGTTAGTTAGTTAGTTAGTTTGTTTGTTTGTTTGTTTGTTTGTTTGTTTGTTTGATTTGATTTATATCCCACCCATCTGGTCAGGTCGACCACTTTATACCTCTTTTCAGTTAAAAGGCTGCTAAGATGCTTTACAAAAGTTAAAAATTCAATTTGTATTTAAATACTGTACTTAATTGTTCAGCATGGCAAGGAAAGCTGCCATTCACAATTTCTTTGGACCAAGCAATTTTACCCATTCTTTATGTAGCTAGGAATGCAAAAAAAGAAACACTTGCCAAAATGTAGCTGTATGGTGAACCTGGACTGAAGCTTGCAAGTGAAGCACTAGCTTTGTATGCTGGAAGCCTCATGTTGAAAATCCCTGGCATCTGAAAGCAGGGCTAAGAAACAATAGGGGCTGAAACCCCTAGACAGCTGTCACCAGGCAATGCATCAAATAGAGAGTACTGAACTACACAGGCGAAAAAGTCACTGTTTGAACACAGTACCCAGACTCACTGGCCATGCTGGTTTCAGGCCTCTGGGAGATGTAGTCTTTTCCTGATTTTCTTGGAAGCTAGTGTGGTGTAGTGGTCAGAGTGCTGGACTAGGACTCAGGAGCTCTGGGTTCAAATTTCCCCTCAGCCATAAGTACTGTACGTGACGCTTAGTTAGTCACATGATTTTAGCTTGACCTACCTTACAGACTCGCTGTGAGGATCACACACAGAGGAAGATGGCCCTACACATCACCCTGAGCTGGCTGGGGGAAAGGTGGGGCATAAATGTAACACATAAATAAAATAAACCTACAAACAATTGAAAAAAAGTAAGGTTGTTTTTTTTTAGTTCTTCCTTGGACCAATAATCTGATTCAATATGAGGAAGCTTCCTCTGTCCCTAAAACTATCATGCAGGTTTTAGCATGTATCTTTTTAAAAGGAGAGACTTGTTGGATGTAACGCAGGCCTCTTGGTGATATTTACTGTCCAAAACCAAAAAAGGAACTGGTACATCCACCAAAGCTGTATGCAAGGAGAGACTATAGTCCTAGGATATAAACATTGCACTATGCATTTTATTCCAAAATAAAAAAAACCCAAGGACTTCTATTAAAAAAAAGAAGAAAAGAGGGGGGGCTTTTATTTTGGAATAAGGTGCATACGACAATGTTTACATCCTGGAGCTATAGTCTCTTCTTGCCTGCAGGTTAATTCCACTGTCCTCCAAACTGTGCCTCCCAAATGTCTGGGCTACAGGGCCATGGTGGCTGGGGCTGATGGGAGCACACATTTACAATATGAAAAGCTTCTGGGCTGGCAAGAAAGGAGTGGCCAAACCGGTTAATGTCTTTTGCCAATAATCTTTGAAGACTGTGGCAGAGAGGATTTGCTGGGAACCTGGAGGGCAATGCAAAGACCTCTGATATTTTGCAGAGTATAAAAAAGACACACACACACACACACAGACAAAGAGCCCAAGTCAAACCTGTCTCTCTGACAAGCCCAACGTGGCTGCCAGTTCAGCTTTCCTCCGGATGGTGATGTAACGGCTGTAGTGAAATTCTTTCTCTAGTTCCAGCCGCTGGTGATCTGTGTAGACCACGCGGTACTTGTCTTTCGTCCTGGTTTTCACTGGAAAGAGAGATGGAGGTCAGTTGGGATAGGTTGGGTGGCAGCACCATTTCTTTTATGAACTCTTTTAGGTAATTCTCTTTGGCTTTAGCAAAACCCTTGTTGTTCGGTGTCTCTAAGTCACTCATGGTGACTCTATGCATTAATGACTTCAGAAAGTCATTAACAGCCCTTCTCAGGTATTGCAGATTTAAAACTGTGCCTTCCTAGTATATAGGAAAATATGGACCTCCAGTAACTCAGGACTTCTGGAACAAACAGACAAACAAACACCCATCTGGTCTGCTCATTCAGAATGGGGTTTACTAGCCACATGCCTTTTTACATTTCAGTACCTAGTTTTCAAAGCTTAGCTGTTGATTACCTCTACTACCACTGGCATTCCCCAAACAGTTTTGAACAGCTCCCTCTCTTCCTGCTAGTTTAAATTATAAGCCCTCAAATGTCTGGCTTGGAGAGGAAGTGATTTTCAAACAATGCCTGCTTGTAAAAAGCAAGCAGCTGCTAGATTTATGGCCCTGAAGCCAAACACACACACACACACACACACACACACACACACACAATTGTGTGTGTGTGTGTGTGTGTTGTATGTGCAGGCCATCCTGGTATACACAAAATACAAATAAACCCTCCATTTATTATGCACGTGTATAATTTGGTACTGTGTAATTAAGCCTCTTATGACTGGGACTTGTAGAAGCAATTGCCAGCAGCTTATGTCCCTCTGATTTTAACCGCACCAGTTTCTCCAACTCATTAAGCTCAGAATCAGACTCTTTGATATTAAGGATGAGCTCAGCTGCCTCAGCCCTAACTTTCAAACAACAACCTGACTGCTTCCTGCCTCATCTAAGACAAACTGTACCTGGTGAAACGCATCTTGCCAAGAACTTTATATTTAAGAGTAACCTCCTGACAAACCCTGTCTTGTCACAAATGTTTGGACTTTTGGTACTTGCTTTGAAGAAGTAGGATTCACCCATGAATTTTTTTTATCAGTGGCCTATAAGGATATCTCCTGTTCTTGCATTTGTATTCTGTAATGACCCTCTTTTATTTTAAATTATGGACAGGGCATACAGACTAACCAAACAGACATTTCTGAGTCCATTGGAATTAAATACAGAATATTTCATATATATTTACATTATAATGATCCTGTTATAACAGCAATATTTTATGCTGAACTCTTTGAATTGAGGCAATAGAGCACAATGTTTTCCTTGCACATTCAAGTCCCAATGAAACAGTGAAAAGTTGCACAGAATAGCACTGTTGCCCTCACTTTGAGAGGCACTGGATTGAGTTCATGGCACAGAATTAAACTGCAGCGGGATATATTTTCATGGATGTTAGATGCTACTGGTTTAACCATCTCTCCTAAATATAATACTTGAAAATATCAATAATGGGGGTGGGGGTGTCAAAAAGGTGATAATACAGAGACTGATGAAGATAATGAACATCTCTCACTTCCCTCCATTTGGAATTAAATCCATATATATACATTGGATTTAATTAGATATATATTGGATATATATCCAAATACACACAGAGAGACAGACAGACAGACAGACAGACACACACACACACACACACGCACACACACACACACACAGAGAGAGAGAGAGAGAGAGAGAGAGAGAGAGAGAGATTATATGTATACTGAATCTGAATTTCTCTATTCCAAGTTGACAATCAAGACTCTGTTAACTAATGTAGCTTTTAAGTCATGATCCAATCAATCAATATTTTACTACACGTGTTCCCATTTATTTCAAGGGAGGAAAAGTTTAGCACCCATGTTGCTCCCAACAGGACAGGTGTGATATATAGGCATACACTTTTATCTCAAGATCAGTAAGGAAGATGGGATGCTGTTTGCTGATAAAAGAGCTACATTTTACCTGATGAAAATACAGAACATTATTATCATACTGCATGTCATACACCTCATAATTCTAGAGCTCAGGGTAGCCTAAGGCTTCTGAATGTTTTGGACTACAACTTCCATGACCTCAAGCCAGCATTGTGAATGATTGGGAAATTATGGGAGTTCTAGTTTAAAACATCTAAAAGACCCAAGGTTACTTAACAATGTCAGATGGAATATATTTTCTCTAGCTATTGATTAATGCAGGAAAATATTATTTTGGCCTTGGGAGAGGCAAAATAAGTATATAGCCTCTTGTTTAGCGGTAGAGGCATAAGAATTTAAAGTTATTAGTTTTAAAATACAATTAATTGTATTGTATATTTTCTCTAGCTATTGATTAATGCAGGAAAATATTATTTTGGCCTTGGGAGAGGCAAAATAAGAAGTATATAGCCTCTTATTTAGAGGCAGAGGCAAGTTTTGTAAAGTTATTAGTTTTAAAATACAATTAAAGTTAATTCTGGCTTATGGTGACCCTTTTCAGGGTTTTCTAGGTAGAGAGTCCCCAGAAGTGGTTTGCCATTTTCTTCTTCTAGGGGCATTTTGGAACTTTTAAATACATATACATGCAATAAAAATCAACGCAGAGATGGCCCACAAGAGCTTCCTAAAGATGAAGAATTAAAAGTATATTTAAATTTAAATTCAGTTTAAATTGAAACTGTATTTGAGAATGTTCAGTGTAAGGTGCTGTATGTATTCTCACTGTGACTCTTTTGCAATGGAAACATGGACTTTATCACAGGCTACTGCAAAAAAAAAAAGATAAAAGCATCTGGAATGGGGATTTATCCTAAGGCAGTAAGAATTCCTTGGAGCAAAAGGGTGGCCAACAAAGAAGTTCTAAAGCAAATGAACAAAGAGCAAGAAATCATAAAATACATAAAAATGCAGACAGCTAGAATACTTCTGCCATGTAGCAGGTCACAAAAACTACAGATTTTTACCAGTGATAATTCAAAGTAAAATCAATGGGAGAGGAACTGCAGGAAGGGAAAGGGTGAATTGGTCAAAGAACTTTGTGGACTGGTTTGGAGGTTGGCCAACATTATTAGTTAGAACTGCCCCATCCATGAGAATAGGAAAAAGAACAACAAAGACATAACGAAGAAGGAAGCTTCCATGTTTCCTACAAATGGGAGAGGAACTGCAGGAAGGGAAAGGATGAATTGGTCAAAGAACTTTGCGGACTGGTTTGGAAGTTGCCCAACATTATTGGTTAGACCCCATCCATGAGAATAGGAAAAAGAATAACAAAGACATAACCAAGAAGGAAGCTTCCATGTCTCCTACAGGCCATAGACCAGTTAATCAGACATATTAAACTCCCTCCTTCCTTCCTTCCTTCCTTCCTTCCTTCCTCTCCTCCTTTCCCCCCCCTCGCTCCCTCTCTCCCTCTCTCTCTCTCTCTCTCTCTCTCTCTCTCTCTCTCTCTGTGTGTGTGTTTGTGTGTGTGTGTGTGTATCTTCACCATGCCAATCCTCAATTCTTAATGTGGCCTCTTCTGCCAGCAATTTTCACTACAATAAATCTATTTCCCTGTATTTTGACTTTCCCAATGAGGAGTGATCCGAATTATTTCAACCACAATGACCCTGAAGAATTTGTTTGAAATAAGAGACATAAGTCTTTATTTCTTTCCAGAATTAATAAATATATCAGACTATTTTTGCCCAGTAATGGGCAAAATTGGGAGCGTTGGAAGCAGTTGCCACCAAATAACAGACACATGTTTATTAACACCTACGGCAAAGCAAATATTAAAATGATTAATAATTTTGTCCCCACACAGTCTCTTCCTGGTCAACAATATAAAAATACTGTACAAATAAGTTTCAGAGCTTGGCAAAATTACATCTACATAACTACTTCTGAAACATCATGGAGCTATAGTCCAAAATAATTAACTTCTCCAGGATCTGATGATATACCATGTCAGTTATCAGGATTTCTTTCCAAGCTTAGGATGTGCTGCAATTCACAGCAGAAAGTTTGAGAAGGTTCAGACTCAGCGGGATATATATTTTAAGGACTATATACTATGCCTTTAATCCTGTTGATTTCAAGGGATCTAATTTTTTTAAAAAAATTAAATACCATGCCCTACAAACAATATATAAACCATAATCGTAAAGCTCTTTATCCTCAGTTTCAGAACTCATTTTAAGGAAAATAATCATAACAACAAGAGCAAACTAAAGGGAATGCTTTAATGTAGAACAATAAATTCCAGCGATATACTCTGAAGGCACCAAAAATGGAAAATATTTCTTTTCAGGCTTGTTGGCTGGGGCGCTTCAGGGAACTTTTCCTATATCTCAAAAACAAACATGGCAAGCAGGCTGAATTGATCTCAGCATCCCTTCCTTCCGAGATAAATCCTGAGGTTAAGGAAATTACAAAATCAATATGAATAGGACCAGCCCACAAAATAATTTATTTTCTACACATGACAAGACCAACACACTGGGGACCACAATAATCACAGACAGGTTTATTTGAAATAGAATGTACACTTCAAAGACAAATAAATGGATTCCCACATTTCATCAATTGTTTACTATCTCACATTTCAGTGTTGATTCTGGACAGTTTTCTTCCTATTTTATTTCTCTTTTTAACTTAAGGTTGGGTGGGTGGGATGTTTGAGGAAAGGCGACCGACCAACTCACAACCCTCGTCCGCCTTATCCTTCTCCAGCCTAAGGGTGTTTAGCTGCCCAGTGGCCAATTCTTTCTTCGGGGGGGGGGAGGTTTACACGGAAAGAGGAATAAGGCTGCCGGTGATGACCAAGCCCTCACCTCAATTCTCTGCAGCTCCCAGTGGCCTTTTTGGAGATACTTTCCCTTGCTTCTAGTCGGAACTAGTTATCTCCCACAAGATTTCCTCCCCCCATTCCCATTAATCCCTCCCCCCCCAAAAAGAGAGAGAGATCTGAGGGTCCGGGCCGATCTGCCTAGAGGTCTTCCAGGGCCACCAGGCTGGCTTGGTCGGTCGGGTGAGGGTCAAACAAAGCATAACAAAAGCCGCCCCCCCCCTGCTCAGCCCGGCGACAAAAGCTTCCCCGTGGTGAAAACAAGACTGATCAGAGAGGGAAGCTCCCTGGAGCCGCTGAATGGCAAACACCCGCGCCGACAATGCGCTACAAGGCGATCTTATCAAAGCCAACAGCGCCTCCGGAACGCCCCTGCACCGCAGGCGCGGCCTGTTTGCCTTATTCTCGCCGCGCGCGCCCCCCGCCCCGCACGAACAAACGCCGGCGAGCTCTTTCATCCGCAGCCGCCTTTTCCCATTCCCCAGAGGCGCATCTGAACAGAAGCCCCCGTGGGCTCCTAGGGGAGCGTTTACATGGCGGCCTCAGCACTGGCCTGGGCTTCCTTTCCTACTTTTCCCGGTGAGGGGAAGGAAGAGGTCAGAAAGCAGCCAGCGGAGGGAGGCGGAGGGGGGAGGGACGAGCAAGAGGGGATATGCTTTCAATTCAGATAGGGAGGGGCCACACCCACGAGTCCCCGCAATCCCTCCGTATTTATTTATTTATTTATTTATTTACTTACTTACTTACTTACTTACTTACTTAACTTACTTACTTACTTACTTACTTACTTACTTACTTACTTACTTACTTACTTACTTACTTACTTATTTGTATCCGGCCTTTCTCCTTAAAAAGGGCCCAAGGCGGATCACATCCTTGGGCAACATTTAAAGCTAGAAACAATAAGTACACATCAGTGGTCAAGATCATTAAAATACAATATTTAAAGCTTAGAGCAGGTGACCTAAAGAGGCAGCTTGCATAATCATTAAAAGACAATATTTAAAGCTTAGAGCAGGTGACATAAAGAGGCAGCTTGCATCATTTAAAAGACAACATGAAAACTAAAATTATTTTAGTCAAATTTTCTGAAAACACGCACACACCACTGCTTGGGGAAAATTACAACGAGACTGCATCATCCACCCCAAGTTACTTTTTTTTTTTTTTTTGGATTACAGTGGCCAGAATCCACCAGCCAGTATCCAAGGATTCTGGATCTTGTAGTAATTTTTCCAAGCTTTGTTAAGAATGGTAGTTGAGTTTGGGGAGGGTGATGATTAATAGTCTCAGCCCCTTGGAGAGGGGAGCTGTGTGAGTTTTGCGCTCTCCCAATAATATTAGCCTTTTTTAAAAAAAATGTAACGGCAATGCGTTCCTTTTGGGTAAAACCGGAACTTAAATCTGCAGTAGGTTTCCGTTTTCAAGCGAAAGGTGAGAAAACTCTTAAATTGGAGGTGTCTGATTAATGGCAAAATGTATTCCCTCAGAACAGTACAGGGCGCGAACTCTATAAACGCTATTAATCCAATTCCAACCTCATAAGGTCGTTGTTCGTGGTAATGTTTCGCAGGACCAGGAATGATGGGAATGGGAACTTGCCCAATAAAATCAGTAAAGGAGATTAAGACTTTTAGGCCGTTCAGCTGCCATCAGCCCTTCACTCGGAAACGTTGAAAAATCCCAGTCACCCAGGCTTGCATGCAGGGGAATCTGTGTGATCCTTGAGGCTTGACTGTCTGCTGACCGGGAGCCCGGCCTCGGGGGGGGGGGCACGGTCTCAGGAGGAAATGACCTGACACATTTGTGTTGGTTTCTACGCTTGTTTAACTGGCCGGCGCTGTGGTTTTTAACACCTGGTGCGTGGCAAACCAGTCTTCAACTCACCAAGCTCCTTTCCACTGATTTGGGGTGGGGTGGGGGGAATGTTGGCTCTGGGAATTTCTTCTGCCAGGCAGAACTCTGAGGAGCAGGCGGAGTTGGGGAAGTTCCCGCTGTAAGCAGAGTTGTATCCCCAGACGTTGGACTACAGTTCACATCAATACCAGCTTTAAGCCACTGCTGGCTGGAGTTCGTGGGAACTAGGAGTCGAAGCGTCCATGGAAGGCGCACGCGCTCTTCATCCCAGGATCTGAGGAACTAGGCCTCAGGTATGGCAAGAGGTGGTTGGGCACAACTCCCATCATCCACTGCCAGGGGTGAGTAGCTGACAGATACTGCAATCCTGTCCCGTCCGGAGGGTCACATTTTCACTTTCCCCAGCATTTATAATAGGTTTTCAAGGTTATTTAAGGAGTGGTTTTTACCATTTTTTTCACCTTCAAGCCCAGTGAATTTCCATGGCCAAGCGGAGACTCGATTTCAGGTCCTCTGAGTCCTCCTCCATCACTCTCTCCACTACAGCTGCTTAGTACGAGTCCTCGTCCATCACTCTCTCCACTACAGCTGGTTAGTATTGGCAGCATCCGAGGAAATAATCCGCGTGTTGCGAATGTTGCAGCATGTTTTCCCTTAGGAAAATATTTTAACTCAAAGCAAAATACAGAAGCCTCTTCCTGAATCGCTTGAGACTTATATATTTACAATTAAATTAAGCATGCTAAATCTAGAATCTGTGTTTAGAGGGAGGTGGTTTTTAACTGCAGTCATAGGGAAGTCAGACCCGAAGTGAATCTCACTTGGGTTCAACGAGGCTTTCACCTAAATAAATCGAGGGTGCCCAGTAACCTTTAAGGCACAGCATAACTGTTTTACCTGCAGCAGACCAACATCCGATGTGTGTCTGTTTACAAGCAAGTCCAATCCAGTTAGTTGAAATTTACTTCCAGGTAGGGGCATGTCGGTGGTCCACTTGCGGGTGAGGATAGGATGGAGGGCTCAATTGAAACACTGAAATATTTAATAGCATTTACCCTATAGCTATTCAATTGTAGTTTCATTGCTGCTTTCCATATATATCACCCTACATGGAGCCCCTTTCTCGCATCATCCTCAGAATCTCATTACATACTGTATATGCGTGCAATACAGTAATACTATGGTATATATAGTATAGACTGAGATATAGATATATATTTTAAATACTATAGGTAGCATCCTATGTAGATTTATGTATACGTCACACATACATATGCATTTC